TTATATGAAATTGGGCTCATTAAAATTAAGTAACAAATGATTTGGAACCCATTTTCCCAATCTTAAGTTCTTTATAAGTATTTCAATTTATAGGTTTTTCACATATTTTATTTACTAATTTTTTTTATTGTTTAATTTGCTTTTTTAATTTGATGCGAAGTTTTATTTTTGTAAAATATACATGTGAAGAGGTTAAAGCGAGTTAAATTGGTGGGTATAGGTTTCCCTAAAATATTAATGTGTTATGATAATATGGGTTAGGTCGGGTACGGATCGGGTCGGGTATGAGTCACTATATTTCCATTGCATGAAAATGGGTTAAAACGGGTTAAATGGATCAATATGAGTCGGACCATATTTGACCTGATCCAAATCCGACCCAACCCACCCGTTTGATGGCCCTAGAGATGGGTGAAGGAAGGAAGGAGAGCGGTGACTATCGGTGGGCTGCGTGAACTGAATGAAGAAGGCGCGTAAGCACAAGGAGCCGTCAACCTTATGGACCGGTTCAATTCGATTTTGCAATAACCTGAAAAGAAGAGCCGGCTTTAAAACCGGTTCTTCTTCTTTTTAGTCCATTTTGTTCGGACCCATATCGGAATTCTAAATGAAATTTCAATCCTAATTACTCTAACATGACATTCACTACCATATTTTATCGTCGACATATATATAAAATAAGTAAAGAATTTTAAGCCCAATACTCAACAACTTCGATAATTCAACTACAGCTTTTGTAATAATGCTAAGGCTAATAATATTGAAAATAAAAAAATGTTAGGACTAGTAATAATATGGAAACTCCGATAGAGCTCAAATCCTCCTAATAGCTATGATATGACTAATAATTCAAATAGAAGGAAAACCCTACTAATGTTACGACTTCTACTGGACTTGGGGATATACGCAAACGGGTATTTACACCAAAACTTGAAAATAAGACTAGTATTTTGGCCACAAATGAGTCATTTGATCTCATGATCTGCGTTATAAAATCATCACATTGTTCGTTTCACTTTTGTTTGCAAGTAAGCCTCGCCAGTTACCAAGGACAATAGTACCAAGATAGTCCATATCTTGAAACGAATTTGTTTCTGTAGCTTACCGATCAAATGGGATAATTGTTTAAAAAGTCTTAAACAGTCCTACAATTTTTTGGCAATTTGCCAATGTATTCCTTTTTCCTGCCAATTTTAAATGGAAATCGCTGACGTGGACTCCGGCGTACTATGTGGCACGGTCAGCACTGCCGGCATTGACGTGAACTATTTTTGCACTTTTCTTTAAAAACTTTCAAGAAATTTTCTTCTTTCCTTTTCATTTTTCATTTTTCTGTTTTTCCTATTTCCCTCCATAGGTTGCTGGGGCCTCGGCTATGGTTAATGAAGGTCGCTGGCCTCTAGCAAGGACCGCAATGCCCTCGCCAGATTTAGCAAGCCAATTTAGATCTAAACATTTTAACAATTTATCAATCTAGTTCTTCTGGTTAATTTTGGTCAAAAATCGTTGACGTGTATGCTAATGTCCTATGTGGTAGGGCCGAGTATGACTAGCATTGACGCGGGCAATTTTTGTACATATGAAAAAAATAGAAAACTTTTAAAATTTTAAAAATTAAAAAAAAAACTACAAAAATAATCAACGTCGGCAATTTCCAGTCAAAATTAGTCAGAATAGTTATATTGGCAAATCTTCAAAAGGTTTAGGATTAAATTGGATAAATTAAAAAATATAGGACTGAACTAGTCATCATACAATAGGTTCATAACCTTTTGGATAATTTTCCCCGTAATCAAATCCAATATTACAATGGCGAAGTTCAACATCTTCACAATGGGATGACAACTATTTCTCAATGAAAGGACAAGTATCATGAGGCTTATCCTCTTCGTCAGACTAAGGGCATGCTTGTGTATGCTTTAACAAATGGAAAAATCGCCTTGAATTCGAAATGTTATCCAAATTTTAGAAAATTATGAAAAAACTATATATGAATTAATGTGTCAAAATTTGTGTATTGTGAAATTTTTAAGTTACGGGGTAAGAAAAAGTCAATACGTGTCCGTTGGAAGATGTGGATTAAGGAAAAAGCAAAAATTAGAAACCTATCTAGGCACGCCCTAAACATTCACGATTATGCACAGTGAGTGAACTGAAATAGATAATCATATGGATATCACACAACTTCATATTCTTACTTCATGGCTCAAATCCAATCCTTCTCAAGAATAACTCATTGAATACTCCGAGTAACCATACTTGTTATTGTTGCCAAACTTCGGTATACTCATTGGGTTTTCGAATAGCCGTATGCTGATTACTGTTTATATGCTGTTAGAATTGAGAAGAGAAATAACTTCTCTCCACATAAAGGAGTACTTGCAAGTAGGGTAATCCTGCCTTTGGCCCTTTTTGATTTTGCAATAATTCCTGCCTTCTTAGTACACGGTTTAGGTGACGGTTGACGACGTTGGGTTCCTTGACTATATGACACGGCAGAAGTGTCTTGGCAAGTTCTTAGAAGAAAAAAAGAAATAAACAACACTCGTTAGATCCCACGAGAGTTAAATCAACGGTTGAAGACAAGAGGACCCATCCCAATCCTAGTGGGTCCACCCACGGAGACATGATTTAACTCTTTAGGGGATCTAAGGTCAAATGTGATGAACATTTGCAAAAGTGAAGTCCCAAAAGTGAAGTTGCAAAAGTGAAGTCCCATCAATTCGATAAACAAATAAATAATTGCAGAGCAGAAGACCTTATATATAATGCAACGAAGAGCATGTTCCGCTTACTCCGTCCCAGAAACTCAAAAACAATCAGAGTTCAAAGAGCTTCATCTTCTCCGAAACATGGCAGATCATACAATAACAACCGAAAGCTATGTAATTCATTCGTGTGTATATGCTCTTAAAAACTCTGCTTAGAGTGCGCAAAGAAAGAAGCTAGTTTATTTTTCTTTTGAATCCATTTTATTTTCATTATTTTCTTCCTAATTTGATACAGGGACGATGAGCAACCACAACAGCATCAACAACAGGAAAGTTTTGACTCAACCAAGAGATTTCACATAGTATTCACTTCATTCAAACTGCTTGTCATAGCGTATTTCAATTCGCAGCATACCGGAGTGCTGTCCCACGCGATTCTGCAGTTTTATATCATTTGCGAAGTCATTTATCTCGTAGCACTGATTAAAGTGACCGGATCCGCGAGCCGGAACCCGATATACCGATGCTTGTACATCGTTTTCGGGACTCTTGGTTCAGAATTGCTTCTCTGGATAAGCCTGTCTCCATCCATGTGGCTGGTAGTAAATATGTGCTTGCTAGTGTTTGCTTTGGCATGTTTGCTCGCACGAGGTTTTGACCGTGTTCAAGAGATTATTCAACTGTTTAATGATTTGCCATTTTCCGAAGTTTAGTTGGATTCTGGAAGCTCCCGCAATTATATTGTATTTGGGTATCAATCTTGTTATATGTTATTACAAATAGAGACTCTTGATTTTAATAATAGACCTGTGAATATTTTTGGGTCCATGGTCACATGTTTGATAAATAACTGTGAAACTTTGATATTTTCGTGTATAAAGATGTAATTAAACTAACCTTACCAAAAAAAAAAGATGTAATTAAACTCAAATTTAAGAAGACCGTGGAAAAATATCACATAAAAAATTTCTGGCAGCACATGGTCATCTAGGCTTAATGGACCCCTTGAAAGATTGATTATAGCTTAAATCTTCCCTAAACCAGTTTTTAATAAATGACTATTAAAATAAAAAAGAAAAAAATGGAAAGAATTCATGGGTCACTTCAAATCTTGATATATGTGAATATTTTCAAAATTTTAAGTATTTTAAGATATTTTAGTGTTTGTAAGAGTAGAGGTTTATATCATATATATACACATACATATATTTTGAGGCATGCTCTCTTCTGCTAAATTAGATCGAATTTGTAGCACTTGGAGAAATAAAAGGATAGGTGTTCTTTAAATAGTTAAATTGTTTTTGAAATTTCTTGTATGCTAATTTTTTCTTGTATACTTTGTTTTAAATTGGTTATTTTTTTTATAAGCTATTTTCCATATATAAGGGAGAAAATTGCTAAGAATTAGAACCCGACTTAGGTTTGGGTATAGGTTTGGTCCGGATCGGGTTGGGTTTGAGTTGCTAAATTTGTATTATTTAAAATTGGGTCAACTTTTGAAAAAAAAAGAAAAGAAAAGAAGTTGGGTCGGACTCGTTTTCGACCCAACCAAGCCTGACCCAACTCACCCTTTTGATAGGTCCAGCAACTCTCCAAGTGTATTGGTTATCCTTTTGTACTACATTGCATGGATTTATGGCTACTATGACTACGACCGATGGTCCGTTTGTTTCGATGAAAGTGAATGATTTGAAAAATATTTTTTAAAAAATAGTCACTTGTATCTCTTACCATAATGATGAACGGAAATTTTTTTTCATAGTTTGCAAAAATGTTCAAATATAAATTATTGTCGATAATAAATGTAAATTTTATTGACTAATTATTTCAAGCGATACAAGTCACTTTTTGAAAAATAATTACTAAATTACTCATTTTCTGCGAAACAAACGCATCCCAAATTCGTAATAGTTATGCGTAGTCACCCGAGGGCCTGTTACATCCTCTCAAGGACCATTCTCCTATCATATCATGCTACAAACAAACACTTGTAAATTCTCCAAACACAGTGAGATTTGTCACCGCGAGAATAGTTCCCGAGGGACGATGGACTTTCTCCAGTAGCCATGGCATGATGCTTGATCGTTGAAAACAAGAGATTAGATGCTTAGGTGCTTCGTTAATACTGATTTAGGCATAATGTTCGTCTTTTGGGAACATAGCCAGTCTTTGACCCCACCCATAACAGTCGTCTGCGTTGGGAAACACAAAAAACGAACAAATGTGAATGATATCGGAGTCCCAAAACAATGCTTCATCAACTCTTGGTCCGGCAAATTTCAACTTTAATCTCATGATAGCAATTCCAAACCAAGCCAGCCAAGCATTCTCAATCAAACATATAGAAACTATTAGGTCATGGCCAACTCTTACCAAGACCTCCTTCCTTATACTAACTAGCGGAAAAAAAAAAAAAAACAGAAGCTGCTATACAATTTACCTTGGAACAATATACCAACATCATCTAGTAAAGACACCCTGACACAATACAAAACAGCATAAACTCATCCCTCTCGCTTTACTCTCGGCTAAAACTGGGCTACTGCTGAAAAGTGCAAAGCCATCTCCACATCTGGTAAATTAAACTTATCCAACAAGTGACTCTCTCTCACTATTGGCAAATGCCAAAAAACACGTATTAATATACGACGGATAGCAATGACTACCTAGTCTCGTGGGCTTTGGCCAACTTCTCCCTTCTTTCTTCAAAGCCATGGGGACTTTGTTTCTCCTCTCGTCGCTTTTTTTACTCTCTGACCTTCTTTTTGTTCTCCTTCCTAGCAGCCTTCTCGTCAACAGTAGCCTGCACCTCAGTTTTGGAAGCTGACTCATTTCCTTCTGAATCTTCATCTGTATCTGTATAGGACTTGGACTCGCTGCCGCAAGCTTTAGTATTATCGCCAGGATTGGTCGGCTTTTCTATAGCATTAGCGTCCTCCTTCATGAGAGCCTTATGTAACCCTGTAATAGTCTTGTAGTACATGTCTCCAGTGTCCTTCCCACTTGTTATCCGAATCACGTCCTCTTCCACATTACATTGGAATCTAGTGTCTTCGGTATGTACGACTGAAACAAAAAAAACATAATATTAAAATGATTTGGTAGCTTTAGAACGAATCAACTTCGATAACTCGATTACATAGGATTTGATCCTGAAGAATTAAAGGTTCTCACTGCTGAGGTAAAATGCATAAACAGAGCCCATTACATTGGTGGAGAGCAAGATGTAAGAAAGAACAGAAATTGGACAGGCAGATATAGTTGAGAATTTTTTTCTTGGCACAGAGCAGGCCTGAGACCTCCGATTTGTAATAGAAGAAGAAAAATCATACAATAACAAATAGAGGGAAAAGAAGATGAAACCTACCATAAACTAAATCCACGAAACACCACTACAAAATCGACAGTGTAGAATTGAAGAAAAATCACATTGCAAACTAAAATGCATCCTTTCGGCCATATAATAAAGAAAAAGAACTAACAGTGGCTCCTAAGAAAAGAAAAAAAAAGTATCAGACGAAATAAGCCAACATTCTCCACAATCTAGCAGTGACTGCCATCACAACAAATAGAACCTGTATATCATTCATCAATTCTAGAAAGAATAAAGTCCCAAACTTGTAGCAAATGCAGTGTTGCACCTTCAAACACCCATGCAGGGGCCTTGCAAACAACTAAAAACTATCACACTCACTAGAACACCAGCACCGAAGTCTTGTAGACCTTGATTGCCAATTCTTGCCCATCAGATTTTGTTGCATGATAGACATTTGCCTATAAAAGTCAGAGTGACAAGAGGGTCAAGAGACTATGCAGTAGTAGCAAAAATACGAACAAATCACAAGTAAAATCGTGAAATTATAACAATGATGTGATGAAGTTCCACCTACAATCAATTGGTAGAAAAAAGAAAGTAGTGAGTATTGCTCACTGTAGATGACAACGTACTTCTATACCAGTGGTGATGCAACCATTTATATCATTAAATACTTGATGGTCGAGCATCTTGAAGAGAACCATCCGAGTTCTCTGGTCAATGGCCTGCAAAACTGTATAAACAATTCCATGAGAACTTCTAGGAGATGCTACCATAGGTATAGTACTAGTACACTATATATCAACACAATCTCATTCTAGTTCCAAAAGTTCCAAACCAAGAAAAAAAAAATCAAGATCTAAAATAGCTTTGTTAATGTGCCAACCAAATTGATGACAGCATGAACTCAACATTTCTTTTCCGGCGAAAAGTGGAAATTTTTTTAAAATTGCAAGTTCTTATGAAGTTCCATCACAATTATGGAGGTTGGTGAAACTCAAAAGTGGAGACAGCTGCTATGGGGAGACAGCAAAAAGGAGATTCACTAGTGTCGTTTAACTGACTGTTACCGCAAGTACACCTGGTGCAGGCAAGGTATCAAGCATTGCCACACGATAAGCATCATCACTCAATATCATTGCAGAAAATACTAGTGAAGCCTATAGATAATCTATCGTCACACTAAAGGCATAATTGAAGAACCTTATAAGAAGTCTTAGCCTCTCAGGTAATTGATCAAAACTGTGAAATCCAGGAAAGCAACCATTCTGAGCAGCATATTGCTCTACCCACACTACACCAGTACAAAATTAATCAAAAGATTATCCAGCCCTTTCCAAAGAACGGCCACTAAAAAGAGAAACCAATCCTTCTATATTTTAAAAACTCCACCTTGTTAAGGATGCTAACCCTATGCTTCAAAGTTTAATCATAAAGTGATGTTCTAACCTCCTTTCGTATTACATTCAATTCAAACCGGAAGAGAAAGAGAGTGACTTTAGGCTATTCAAGCATGCCAAACATGTTGTAATCATCAAAGAGGACATCGAATTTCACTTCTCAGGCAATCTATGCAATTGTCCAAGGGACGTAGCAACAACATAAAGGAACACGCACGCCTCTGAATTACAAACTACATACAGGCATTGTGAATTAGTTTCATGAAATAGATAAAAAAGGATGGTCGAGAAACAAAAGAAAGAGAAGTTTAGGACGTCCAAAGGGGAAGCGCGGACATGAGTGGAGAGTTTCTGGCTCCGGTTGGACAGGGGTCGAAGCGTGGACGACCGGGCACGCGTGTGAAGCCCTCCGTGAGCATTCGGACGTCGCGAATTGGGAGCGAAGGCCTCCTCCGTCCACTGCTTCTCCGCCGTCTGTCAAGTCCAACCATTCCAACGCCTTAGCGATTTCCGAATCCGACGACCACGCCTCCTCCTCCTCCTCCTCTTCTTCTTCTCCTTCGCCTTCTGTAATTCCTTCATTCATTTTCTCTAATCCTACTTCCAACGATTCCTCTTCCCTCTTCCTCGTCCTGCGTGGACGTTCTGTTACAGCCGAACATCAAGTTCCAAAAAGAAAAGCTCTTTGAGGTGGTGTGAATAGTGAATAGGGACGCGAAGGAGCGGCAACGGCAGTCGAGGGACGGAGCTTTTGCTGCGGAAGCGACGAGCTCCACTGGAAGCGGCTGAGCACGACGGAGCTTTGGCGGCTGAGCGACCCGACGGTCGGAGATGGGTGAAGGCAGACGGTCCGTCGGCCGGGTGGAACCGAACGAAGGCGCGCCGGCAGGTAGGGGGGCAATAAACAAAGGAGCCGCGGACCCGGGCGGACCGGTTCAACTCGACATCTCATTCCCCGAAAAAGGAAGAACCGGTTTAAAAGCGGTTCTTTTAGTAAAACTATTTTTTTTCCCCATATTCCAAAATCATCCCTTTGCGCCTTGGGCTGCTCACACACACGTAAAACGCCACTTTATTCGGCCCTTCGTCGAAATTTCCAAATGAATTTCGATCCTAATTACTCTAACATGAAAACTTAATCCTACTTGCCAATAGACATGCAGCCCTGCTAGTAAAAAGATTGAGGAATGGGGACGCTAGTATTACAGATACAGGATTCGAGTCCTGCGCTCTGTAAAAGGCAGAGCAAAAATTAAAGAATAAGAAGAGTTAGAAATAGGACAAAAAAAAAATATCTCTCTCTCTTTTCTAATACAAGAATATATCATTTGAGAATGTATGGGGTGTGTTTTAGTCAAATGGGATTTGAAAATAAAATCATGGGACATGCAGCATAGGCATTTCGTTCTTCAGTTATACTTGTTTATACTCTGAGATCTCCCATGAGACTAATTCAAAGAAAAATCGTATTTTAAGCGTTAAAAAAGAAAAGCAAGCCCATTTAAAATGTCCGAGGATATTTTAGAGGCGTCGCAAAAGGTTAGGCAAGCCTTCATCGGCCCATTTTTTCTTTCAATTAGAAGAGCCTTAGGTTTTTCTCAATACTCTTTGTACATCAGTTCCGTAACAAATAAAAGAAAATTTGGCTTTGGAAATCACTTTAATCGAGCTCTAAAATAGCTAACTAAATTAGTCAAGAGTGAAAAAACAGGAAGCAGCTGCCCCATGCATAAATCAGAAAAAAAAAAAAATCAACGGTTGAGAGTGCGAGTGCGTGTCCTCTCTCTCTCTTTCTCAACCCTGTGGTTGATGTACATTGATCTTGATTAGAATGTTAATGCGTCATATGAGAGTGAGACTATCGGCATGTAAACAACACGGGATAAGTCCGTTTGTTTTGAGAAAAATGAATGATTTCGAAAAATATTTTTCCTAAAAATAAATAACTAGTTAATGAAAAATATTTTCATTATTGAAGATAATTTATGCCTAAACATTTTTCATTGGCGGTGAAATTATTTTTTGTTAATTCATTTTATGTAAGCGACATAAGCGATCATTTCTAGAAAAATATTTTTCAAATTATTCATTTTCCACGAACTAAACGGAGCTAGTTATACGTCACCGAGAAGGGCAAGAGTGTAATTGTGTCATCTTCACGCACATCGCCCTTTAAGGACAAGGGGACGGCACCAAATCCTAAAACTTATTAAATTGGTCCAATCAAGTTCTTCTATTAATTGTAATTTTCGAAAGTTTTAAGATTCGACTGCACTTTCGTGACAAGTTTTAGGACTTGATTATACTTATTGAAAATTTTATTACTCGATTGCACTTTTGTGACAAGTTTTATGACTGAATTGCACTTTTTGAAAGTTTTAGTACTCAATTGCATTTTCGTGACAAGTTTTAGACCTTCCAATCTACTTATCCTTGGATTTTTCAAAATATTCGTTGTACATAAGTTGTATAACAAGTAAAATAAAAATTGGCTTTGAAAATCACGTTAATCGAGCTCTAAAATAGCTAACTAAACTGTAAGTACTAGCATGACGAAACAAGAAAGGAAGAAGAAATTAGTCGAGAGTTAAAAAAATAGGAAGCAGCTGCCCCGTGCAAGAATTTAAAAAAAAAAAAAAAATTAACGGTTGAGGATATGCGCTTCAGGGCGGGAGTTCATGTCCTTGACCGTTGATACACGTCTTCATAAATCAATGGGTGTCCGAGTTCACAGGAACAGGAACACTTAGGAGTATGTGGAGCCCCCGGTGGTGGAAAATTTCCTCTAAGGATGTCTCATCTAAGATTTTCCTCTCAATGGCCTCAAGACATGGCCTCTCAACCGTTGATTTGGAGTGGTTGATGGATTCGGAATTTGTGAATGAGATAATCTAGAAAAGTTAAGAAATGGCTTCCCCACTCTCTCTCTTTTCGTTCACGCGTGGGGACAATCTATCTATAAGTGCACGAGCAAGGCCCTTTGCTGTACTTCACTCGCATACACAGAACAAAAGCTCGAGATCAGAAAACGTTCAAGCGGAGTAGAGGAGCTCCTGCGCGCCTGCAAAGTCTCTTCCTGCTCTTTAAATCCTCCTTGGCCTCTGCACTTGCTTCCCCTTCTCCACAGCATGCCGAATCAAGCAGCGACTTCGGAAAGGTAAGTAATTCATTCACGTGAACATGCTCTTCAAATCTCTTTGCTAAGAGCGCGAAAAAATAGCCAGTTCCTTTTCTTTTTCAAATTTATCTTTTCTTCCAATGGATTTCTTCCCGGTGTAATGTAGGGTCGACGAGCAACCACAGAAGGAGCAACAACAAGAAAGTTTCTACTCCACCAAGAGATTCCACATTGCATTCACCTCGTTCAAGTTGCTCGTCATCGCGCATATCAATTCGCAGCATACTAAGCCACTGAGCCTAGCGGTTCTACGGTTTTTCATCATTTGCGAAGCTATCTATTTCATAGCTCTGATCAAAGTGACTAGATCCGCACGTCCAAACTTGATATACGAGTGCTTATACATCGTTTTTGAGACTCTCAGTTCTGAGTTGCTTCTCTGGACGAGCTTGTCTCTAGTTATATGGTTGGTCGTCAATCTGTTTTTGCTAGTGTTTGCTTTAGCATCGTCCGGTCTACTCAAGCAAGCTTTCGACAATTTTCGAGAGATTGTCGAGCTATTCGAGTATGTGATGTCTTTCCAAGTTTAGTTTGATTTCTAAAGCTCCCGCAATCATTCTGTATTTGTTATGAACTTTGTTGTTGTTGTTGTGTGTCATTTGTAATAAGTACTATTGATTTTGGGAAAACAGAATGTTATCATATACATATTCTGAATTTGTCTGGTTGAAGGAATAAGATAGGAAAGTTGATCCTTACCTTATTGCCGTGTCATGTACACGATTATTTTAATATAATTTGACTCATTTTCTGGGCCTAATTGATTTTTTCTGGTGGTAACAAAATGGGTTAAAATGGGTCCACCAACCCATTTTCCGTTCATATTTGTTGGGTTGACTTTTACAACTAGTCACTTTTTAATGAATTGATTAAAATGAATTGTAAGAAACAAAGACTAACTAAAACTTGATCTAAATGGATTTGACCTAATTATGTTGAAGTTAAGGTTTAGATATGTTACTATTCTACTTGTCACAGTTTTCTTTTCTTCAGTTCTCTCCTTCCGTGGAACATCTAAGATAGAGAGTGATTTAAATGATTTATTTTGGTAGACCTATGATTTTATTTTTTTGGTCACTTGTCACAAATTACATGGACGATAATGAAACTTTGATATTTCTTTGTGTAAAGATGAAATAAAACTCAAATTTGATAAAATCGTGGAAAATAATCACGCAAAAGATTTCTGGCAACACATGGTCATCCAGCATGAATGGACCACCTTGAAAGATTAATTAAGCTTAAATCATCCCCAAACCAGTTTTTTTTATTTATAAATAACTATTAAAGTTTAAAAAGTACAAAAAAATGGAAAGAATTCCCGGGCCACGTCATATCTTTTGGTTGCTGTACATTGGGGGGCATATCTGGAAGTTGGACTTGGACGGTCCAAGTTGGACCAAAACAAGAAAGATAAAGGTGAAGGTCTTTGGATTATAGACCTACATACAACTTAAAAATTGCGTATGAACGGAATTCAACACCTTCCTTTAAACCCAAAGTTCATTCAAGTTCCTTCCTTTATCGAAGTACATGGTGTTGAACTCGGTGGTAATTTTACAACTCTTGCTGGATTTGAATAATTTCAAATCTTTGAGTATTTTCAGATATTTTAGTACTTACAAGAGTAGAAGTTTACATCATATGTATGATGACCAGGCAGAAATTATTCTACTAAATTAGATCAAACTTCTAGCATTGGTAAAAATAATAAGAGATGTGTTTTACTAGCTTGATTCGTTAAATTTTTTTAATATTTAATTTGTTTTTTATTTATTGATTATGCTATTTCCATATATAAGGGGAAA